TCCTGAATTTGAGAACTAGGAACACTGTCAGTTCTGTTAAAATCTCCATCATTTTCCTCCAAATAGTGTCTCATTCCCTGACCTCTCTCTGAGGCTCTGATTAAGTCTCCCTTCAACCTGTATAGATCTTAAGCTCTTTCACATTTTCTACCTGTCTTGGCTACATTCTTGCAATTTCTTCACATGTATCTTTCAATTCCAATTTTTTAAAAATGCCCCTAAACCCATTTGGAGTTTACTTCAAATCCAATTACATAAATTTATTTTTTATTTATCAGGTACTTGGTATTTAAAAAAATCTGCTTGAGGGGTGCCTGGATGACTCAGTTGGTTAATCATCTGACTTTGGCTCAGGTCGTGATCTCAGGGTCCTGGGATTGAGCCCCACATCGGGCTCCCCACTCAACGGGGAGTCTGCTTGTCCCTCTCCCTTTCCCTCTGCCCCTGCTTGTGCTCTCTCAGTCTCTCTCTCAAATAAATAAAATCCCTAAAAAAAAAATCTGCTTGATCTTTTGGGTATTTAAACACATTACATGTAATTTTATATTCCATGCCTGATAATTCCAATAACACAGTCCCTCTAGGCAGATCTGAGTCTACTCTGTTTTGCTGCTGGCTCTTACTAATGGAGCCTTGTTTCCTTATGCATTTTGTCAATGTTTTTACTATGAGCTCATTATTTCTTGGAATGTTATGTCAGAGTTCTCTGAAGCCTTGCTAGAGGGTAGGCTCTTCTAAAAAGGATTTGTATTTGTCTTTGGCAGAGATCTGAAGGCACTACCTGATGGCAATCCTTTCAAAATTAAATTCCTCACTTGAGGATTTTTAATCCCATGCCAGTTCACATGAATTTGTACTAAAACCTGTTAGAGGGCCAGCCTCTCAGTTTTGTCCGCATAATCTAGCACCATGGTTCCAAAGAGCTCTTTTTTGTTTTGTTTTGGCTGGTCTCTTAGCAGAGGGCTAGGCAATACTGGTATAGTTTATCCTTGCACTGAGGAGGGCTTCACTGTAGACTTCACACCTTTTGTAGGCCCTTGGGTCTTATCTCGTGTCCTCTGTGTCCTGTAGGAACACATACACCAGGTTCAACAGAGTTTGGCAAAAGTCACTAGCTCATGGACTCACTTTAAAGGATCATTTGTATATTTCATCCTACATCTTCAGTTTTTCCAGTAACAGGATCTGTGTAAGTATATAGGTATCTAGTCTGCCACACTGCTAACTCAGGCTATTTTCACCTGCACAGAAAACTATGTCTGGTGAAGCATTTGGTCACAGAAAGAAGGGCAAGAACTTGAAGGTCCCCCTGCATGTGTGAAAAACAACAGTGTCCAAGGAGGTGGCACATACAGTCAGAACCACCTTTAAGTGTTTTTCTGTGGGAAGTACTAACAGGCTAAGATCTATCAAAGGAGGTTGGCCAGGCAATAAGATAGAATATCCTAGCCACCTCAGGTACCTTAACTCTGGCATCCTGTAATTAATGAGGGCATAGGATTCCATTAAAATGTAATTTCACATTCCATAATTTACCATTTAGCATTTCTCAGTTTAAAAACAAACAATAACCAGTAACGAAATTGAAGCAGTAATCAAAAACCTCCCAAAAACCAAGAGTCCAGGGTCAGATGGATTCCCAAGGAAATTCTACATTTAAAGAAGAAATAATACCTATTCTTCTGAAGCGGTTTCAAAAAACAGAAACAGAAGGAAAACTTCCAAACACCTTCTATGATGCCAGCATTACCTTGATCCCAAAACCAGGCAAAGACCCCATCAAAAAGGAGAATTACAGACCAATATCCCTGATGAATATGGATGCCAAAATACTAAACAAGACCCTAGCCAATAGGATCCAACAGTACATTAAAAGGATTATCCATCACGACCGGGGATGCAAGGATGGTTCAACATTCGCAAATCAATCAACATGATAGAACACACTGATAAAAAAAAAGACAAGAACCACGTGATCCTCTCAATTGACGCAGAAAAAGCATTTGACAAAATACAACATCCTTTCCTGATTAAAACTCTTCAGAGTATAGGGATAGAAGGAACATTCCTCAAGTTCATAAAAACCATCTATGAAAAGCCCACAGCGAATATCATTCTCAATGGGGAAAAGCTGAGAGCTTTTCCCTTAAGATCAGGAACACGACAGGGATGCCCACTCTGTCCACTATTGTTCAACATAGTACTAGAAGTCCTAGCAACAGCAATCAGACAACAAAAAGAAATAAAAGGTATTCGAATTGGCAAAGAAGAAGTCAAACTCTCTCTCTTTGCAGGTGACATGATACTTTATGTGGAAAACCCAAAAGACTCCAACCCCAAATTACTAGAACTCATACAGCCATTCAGTAATGTGGCAGGATACAAAATCAATGCACAGAAATCAGTTGTTTTTCTATACACTAACAATGTAACTGTAGAAAGAGAAATTCGGGAATTGATTCCATTTACAATAGCACCAAAAACCATAAAATACCTTGGAATAAATCTAACAAAAGAGGTAAAGGATCTATACTCTAGAAACTACAGAACACTTACGAAAGAAATTGAAAAAGACACAAAAAGATGGAAAAACATTCCATGCTCATGGATTGGAAGAATAAACATTGTTAAAATGTCTATGCTGCCCAGAGCAATCTACACTTTCAACGCCATCCCTATCAAAACAATTGGCATTTTTCAAAGAGCTGAAACAAATAATCCTAAAATCTGTATGGAACCAGAAAAGACCCCGAATCGCCAAGAAAATGTTGAAAAAGAAAAACAAAGCTAGGGGCACCACGCTGTCTGATTTCATGCTATATTACAAAACTGTGATTACCAAGACAGCATGGTACTGGCACAAAAACAGATACATAGATCAATGGATAACACAGTCTCCAGAAATGGACCCTCAACTCTATGGTCTACTAATCTTTGACAAATCAGGAAAAAATATCCAATGGAAAAAAGACAGTCTCTTCAATAAATGGTGCTGGGAAAATTGGACAGCTATATACGGAAGAATGAAACTCGATCATTCTCTTATACCATACACAAAGATAAACTCAAAATGGATGAAAGACTTCAATGTGAGACAGGAATCTATCAAAATTCTACAGGAGACCATAGGCAGTAACCTCTTTGACATCGGCCACAGCAACTTCTTTCATGACACGTCTCCAAAGGCAAGGGAAACAAAAGCAAAAATGAACTTTTGGGACTTCATCAAGATAAAAAGCTTCTGCACAGCAAAGGAAACAGTCAACAAAACTAAGAGGCAACCCACGGAATGGGAGAAGATATTTGCAAATGACATTACAGAATAAAGGGCTGGTATCCAATATCTATAAAGAACTTCTCAAACTTAACACCCAAAAAACAAATAATCAAGTCAAAAAATGGGCAGAAGACATGAACAGACACTTCTCAAAAGAAGACATATGAATGGCTAACAGACACATGAAAAAAGGTTCAACATCATTAGCCATCAGGGAAATTCAAATAAAAACCACATTGAGATACCACCTTAGACCAGTTAGAATGGCAAAAATTAACAAGGCAGGAAACAACAAATGTTGCAGAGGATGTGGAGAAAGGGGAACCCTCTTACACTGTTGGTGGGAATGCAAGTTGGTACAGCCACTCTGGAAAACAGTATGGAGGTTCCTCAAAAAGTTAAAAATAGAGCTACCCTATGATCCAGCAATTGCACTACTGGGTATTTACCCCAAAGATACAGATGTAGTGAAAAGAAGGTGCAAATGCACCCGAATGTTCATAGCAGCAATGTCCACAAAAGCCAAACTGTGGAAGGAGCCAAGATGCCCTTCAACAGATGAATGGATAAAGGAGATGTGGTTTATATATACAATGGAATATTACTCAGCCATCAGAAAGGATGAATACCTATCATTTTCATCCACATGGATGGAACTGGAGGGGATTATGCTAAGTGAAATAAGTCAAGCAGAGAAAGACAATTATCATTTGGTTTCACTCATATGTAGAACATAAGGAATAGCATGGAGGACATTAGGGGAAGGAAGGGAAAACTGAAGGGGGTGGACATCAGAGCGGGAGATGAACCATGAGAGACTATGGACTCTGGGAAACAATCTGAGGGTTTCAGAGGCAAAGGGGTGGGGGGATGGGTTAGCCCCGTGATGGGTATTAAGGAGGGCATGTGTTGTAATGAGCACTGGGTATTATATGCAAATAATGAATCATGGAACACTAAAAAAAAAACAACAACCCAAAAAACAAAACAAAACAAAAAACAACAAAAAAAACCCCCAAACACATCCTCACAAACATTCTTTAACACAATGCCACAGACCTTGAAAGCCCATCTGGCCTAAAAAATAAACCTTACAATTAAATCTTTACAGCGGATTTATGATGTGAATACACTGGTCTGTTTGACACAGAATCTCTGATAATGATTTTTTTTTTTTAAGATTTTATTTATTCATTTGAGACAGAGAGATACAGAGAGAGAGCATGAGCAGGGGGAGAGGCAGAGGGAGAGGAAGGAGCAGGCTCCCCGCCGAGCCAGGAGCCAGACGGGGGGTTCGATCCCAGGACCCCGGGATCACGACCCAAGCCGAAGGCAGACGCTCAACCATCTGAGCCACCCAGGTGCCCCGATAATGAATTTTAAAGTGGAAATAAATGCTGGGTGCGACCACACTGAAGCATGCTCTATTATTACTTCCAAAGTGTCTGCCCATTCTGTTGTTTCTGCCTAGAATGTTCTTCCTACCCAAGCTCCTACTCATCATGCTTCTATGTTATATCTCCAGCGAGTCATCCCTGATACATGCCCAGATTTAGTTTTCTTGACATCTGTTTCCAAGCTTTGTTCACCATGATTTTGCTTGGGACATAGCAGGCACTAATGAATATTAGCTCCCTTTCTGAGCACTGTGATTAAAGAACAGTGCAGGCCAGAGAAGCAAGATGAAGGACAGATTCCTGGGAAAAGTAGAATTTAGGTGGGGCTAGAAGAGATAGGTAGGACTGAAGATAGAAAACGCAGTGAGAAGACTTTGGGGAGCAGCCAATAAGGCTGGGCAGGTGAGGTAAGACAAAATTGTAATGGAAAATGAACATCAGGCAGGAGCTTGAATCTGACCGAGTCAACAGCTACCCTCGGGCATACCCTTACCTGTGCTCACTGAAGACCGAGTTATCCAGAACTATCTTCTCCAGCAGCTCAATCAGTTCATTAGGCAGATCAGCTGTCATGAAGGCCTTGACAGTGACCGAGACCTCTTCAGGATCCTGTGTTTCTGACAATGCCATCTGTACCACCTGGTTTTAAATATCATTTGAAAGAACTTGGTTAGATAAAGTCAATTCAAGACTATCTTTGAAGCTAAACAGAAAGAAAGGATTCCTCCATGGCAGTCTGAAATAGACACACAGAAAATAGGAGATTTCTCAAGGTAAAAAGGGAAGGTTGTCTAAAGAAGTCAATTTCAGAGATTTCTGCCTGCTCTATTTGATGATTAGTTTCTCTCTCACATCAAAAGGGCTGCAGACTCATCTCTGCCCCAATAACCATACTGTAAATTTACTCCAAAGCCAATAACACAGTGCACTTAAACAGGCATCTGAAATGCATGTTTGCTTTCATCTTTGTTTTTTTAGGTCACTGTTCATAGCAAATATGGCCTCCATTTCTCTAATGAAGCTCTTGCTAGCCTAGAGTACCACAACTGCTCTGGCCCAGCTCACTTCCAGGCATGCAGTTGAGTACACTCTGAGCTCCACAGCCCTCCGAACCATGCCAAGGGAAAGACTGACAAAAAACTGGCCAGACCACCAAAAAACTGGCCACACCACCCCTCATCCAATTACAGGTGTCTCACCTACAAGAAAACTCACAAGTGGGGGAAAAGATATTTTTCCAAAGAGTACACTTCCCAGATAACAGCAGGCTAGAAGGTCAGCATTGTTCTCTTTGCACTTTGTGCCAGGGGCCTTTGGTGACTTCAGGGTCTATCAGTTTTGCCAAGCTTCATCAAGGGTGGGCAATAGCAACGCATTAATGAGAAAGAACAGAGAACTCAGAGGAGGTATGACATAGATAATATACATCTCTGGCCATGAACTTTGACCCTACAAACAGGAGGGGCTGCAATGGAACTAGAATCAAAGTCAGCCCAGTCAACCTTGCAAGTGGCCACTGTATACTCAATGGCACCATAAGATACAAAAGTTCTTCTGAGGAGTTTATAATAATCCTAACAGCTATGCAAAGGAGTTTGAGGAAAGGGGCTATCACAGGAGATAAGTAACAAAAGGGGTGTACTTAAGGGAAAGGAGCACTGTGACAGCACACAGACTCCATCCAGAGTAGGAGGTATATTTCCTGCCATTACGACATCTGTCCATTCTTGAAAACCTTGGAGCACTTTAAATACACACTGGTTATTTTAAGGGCAAAAATAAATTTCCACCATCTATTTGAGTCAACAGGATGCCTAATCTAAGGTTACCTCAGGAAGCTGCTTCCTCTAAGTAAACTTTCCATAATGAGCTTCTGCTCCAGACCTAAAAGCAGTCTGCTGCCGTCATGCAGTCCCTCTAATTAGAGGGGCATGGTAGGTGAATGCCCCCCAGGAGGTGGCTATGAATATTCAGTCCCAACAGACTGACAGGATCAGCAGCTTCACACAGACACAGGAAGACCAAGAGGCACCCTCTAGCTTCGGCTCAGTGCAGCATTAAAGCTGCTCATCCCAGTGCCAATGTAACACAACCTACCAGACGTGCCAGGCAGCTGGACCACACCTGGAGAAATATCTGTTGTCTCTAAATTTGGAGACAGATCTCTAGTGGAATCTAAACCTACTCTGTCCCAGGCCCTTTGCTGCTCAATGTCTTTTGTCAGGTCTGGATCAATCTTAGAGATGGGTAACTCCAAAGTTGATATAATGAGATCCAAAATAACATAGGCTTCTAGCCATCTAAAAGTGTTCCAGAACAAAGTTTATTAAGGAAAATATAATGGCACAGACATGAGGAACAGTGGACAGAAAACAAGAAGGTGAAATTCAGAAGAGACAGAGGTGAAATCCAACAAGTACGCCTCGTGGTTGGTAACAAAGGAGTTGGGGGGGCACTTTAGTTGATCTGCTCAGGGCTGAAGGCCACTTGTTGAACCAGGGTCCTGTTCCCACCTTGATCTCAGCCCATCCCCAAACAGTGTGGCCAGAAGCCTAGGGGACAATGGGTATGGTTGAAGCACCATCTGCTGCCTAAAGCTACAGGAAGCCCACCGAGTGGCTGAGGTCGACACCCATCCGCCAGGCTGCACATAGGAGGAACCCTGGCCTCGGCACCATGCCCCCAGCTCTGAGAGAGGCACTGGATAGTCACAAGGGTGCAAGGGGTTCCTCAACAAAGCCAAGTCCAGCTGACACAACCTTGAGAGCCACTTACCTTGTGTCATTGGGGGCTGCGCTGAAAAAAATACTAAGGGTCCAGCATGCAGGCATGCCATCAGATATTCCTTTTACTGGGGCAGCACATCCCCGCTTTGGAGATCAGGGCCAACTCTGTGCCTTTAACCAATAAACAACTCCAGGGAAGATTCACACAACAGTCTGGTCATGTGTCTGAAGATGTGTTAAATACAACAATTCAACTAGTCACTCTGGCCACAAGATGATGAGAGGGCAAAAGGCCTGCATACACATACTCCCATTTCCATTCTGTACCTGGTCGATCAACTGTCTCCTGGATGGGTTGGTCTCCTCAAGGACGTGAGCCCAGAGCTCTGGATCTTTTCTGTGCACCAGGTAGCGGGCCTTACTTTTAAACAGAGAATTCTCGTTGCAAACCTGAAATGAGTACACTAGTGTGTATAACACAGCCAATCAATGGACACTACTTGGGGGACCCACCCCAGTCAGTTCCCTCTGTCCCCGACACTTGTTTGGTTCAGCCAGAGCCCAAGCAAAAAACAGTACTTTGACACGGGATGAGCAGCATCCCAAAGGGGTGACAATGCACTTCTCAGAGTGACAAATTACCTCAAAATACAAGTTTCTCAGTTTATAACAACTCAGAATGGGTATGGCTGTGTGGCAGCTCCTCTCCACATCGGCCTGCTGCCTTCTAAAGAGGCGCTACCCAGCAGAACTTTCTGAGACAATGAAAATGTTCTAGACCTGTGCTATGGAATGCAGTATATGAAGGAGGAACTAATTTTTTAATTTTAGCTAATTTAAATGGTATAATTTAAATAATTTAAATTTGAACAGTCACCATCTCTAAAGTGTTATCAGAATAGCCCAGGACTGGTATAAAACAGCATATATGCTACAACATTTCAAGGCCTATAAACTTTAAAATATGCTTTCACGGATTGAACTTGAGATCCCTTTTTGTGTTCTAATACATCTCCAAGAAACCAACTGTCCACTGGAACATTCCAACGTGTGAGGCACTTGTTAAGGCCTAATGGGAATCAGACTGGCTGGGTACCAGATGCCAGGCACAAGACTAAATGCTGCATGTGTGTCCATGGGCTGCTCACGTGTGCATGGCACGAGGCCAGGAGCAGGCTTGGTCTGGCCTGCCCCGAAATCTCACTGCAGCTTCTCCTTCTGACACAGCAGATCTTAACAAGCATTTTTTTTCTTGTCTCAATTCTGCCTCACTAAAAGGTGGTATCTATCATACATCACCTGGTAGGACAGATGGGTGCAAAGATCCCTGAGCGGTCACTGAACTGAGCTTTAATAAAAAGGTAGTAAGTTCAGCCAAAAGGTGGCTTATGGTATCAGACTAACTAAAGTCCCAACTTCACACAAACTGGCTCCCTAGAGACTGCAAGGCAATGTGCTATGCAGACCCAGCCTGTCACATGCATGGTTAGTGTCCAAAGCTAAAGTAGGATGAGAAACTGGTGCACTGCTCTTGAGCTTTGGCTCTGTATGCTTGACACCCTAACAGATTCCTTCCCCGGTTGCTGAGTTTCTACCATGCTGTCCAGACACTCTGAGGTGTCCAGGGCAAATAGACCAACTGCCTACAGATCTTACAGTCAAACAAACATCAGGTGCACCCACATGAGATTTCTGGAGTTTTAGGTCACAAGGTTAAGTATGAAACTATTTGCTACTTAAGTAATAAAACATGTAGATCCAAGCCAGGGCAGAGGTAAGCAGACCTGAGGGGGATGTTCCAAGAAGGGGCCAGTAAGAGCTCTGTGGTTGGGAAGAGCTGGCAGAGGGCACGTGTAAGAAGTTGCCTAAGAAGAAGAGCAGGAAGTGCAAGCACACATAGGACGGAAGCATTCAGGGTGGAGAGGCAAGAGGGGAGGCAGTCAGGCTGGTGAGGACAGGGTTGTGGTTCACAGAAAACCTCCTGAGTCAGGCCAAGGGGTTCAATTTTGCCCTCAAGGCTAGAGGACTGTAAGCAGAAGGCTGACAGGTCAGACTTAGGCCAGCCAGGTTTACAGGTACAATATATACAAACAGGGCATAAGCAGGTAGGAAACAAGGCATCTGAATTACAAGGAAACCAAGTTTATGGAAATGTAGCACACGATCTGCAATTGTGGGGCTCAGAGGAAGCCTTCATGAGCCCCCAATGATGAAGCCAGCGCAACAGCTGGCAGCCAGGTGTATTTGCTGCCCACCTTGATGAGCTCAAGGTCACACTGCCCCCGCTCGTAGGCAACACAGGCCAGATGCGGGTCCCGCTTCTCACAGTAGCGGCCCACCACACGGCTGTCATAGTAAGCGTTCTCTCTCAGGAAGCGCTCGGGGCTATTGTTGCTGTCGATGTAGATCTTGGCAAGTGCATTGTGAGTGGCAGGCTCTTCACAGCCTTCGTGACTCCGGGACTCCAGCCAGGGAAGCAGCAGCTTTAGCCTTTGAAAGAAGGAAGAGCAACGTAAAAGTCTCAAAACTAACATCTGAAACCTCCAGGGCAGACCCTGAACTCTGAAGGCTGCTTCTAGAAACAAACAAAAATCTCACTTCATTAACCTCAGGTTGTTTTAGGGACCAAAACAGACTTGAATTCCAAACAGATTTCAATTGTTAAGTTTTCCCCAAAGATCTATAGTACCAATAGCAAACAACTCACTACTAGATCTAAGATTCGTTGCATGAAAGACCAGCCACAGAGACAGTTAGTCCTGGGGCCTAGAGGCTGACCGAAAAGGGATCTTAGAGAATTAGTCATAGACTTAGCAACAAACACTAGAACCCAAGGGCAAGAGAAGATACCAAACTAGGACCCCCTTACCTGTTTCTTTTTTCTACTTCAGCCACCAGCTCATCAGTAGAGAACTGTCCTCTCACCACCATGATTAAGTTTTTAATTACTTCCTCAGAACAATCCACATCAAGCAGCCCTCCAACCACAGCAGGGATCCGGCTAGGGTTGACCTAGAATGGTCAAGGTGGTGACTTAGTGCTGCAGGCACAGGTCACTGCTATAAGTCCCCCGTCCAGGCCTGGACAGTGTGGCTGTCTGAAAGGGCTCCTGTGGTGGACAGAATGCGTATTTGAAGCTCCAACCCCTAATGTGACTGTATTTGAAGATGGGCCTTGAAGGACATAATTATGGTTCACTGAGGTCATAAGGGTGGGGCCCTAATCAGAGAAAAGGCCATATAAAGGTACAGCAAGAAGGTAGCCATCTGTAAGCCAAGGAGAGTGGCCTCAGAAAGAACCAACCCAAGGTGGTGGGGTCAGCACCTTGATCTTGGACTTCCAGCCTCTAGAAAATGTCTACTGTTTAAGCCATGCAGTCTGTGGTATTCTGCTGTGGCAGCCCAAGCTATGATACCATCAGTCTCAGACACATTCAGGGGTCAAAGGCAGTCTCTCAGGTGTAGGCTATTACCACCAACCAAGGCACAAAAGCAGCCGGGTGTCACCTGGGAGCTGGCAGTGAATGTCCCAGTAGTACCTTCTGAACGTAGATCTCGATGTACTTCTGCAGGTTGTTGCGGTACAAGTACAGGACGAGGTCATGGACAAAGTCAAACCGATCACACACAATGATGAGGGGAAGCTGGTCTGTGAGCTTGGCCTCCTGTGTATTGGGAAAGCACAGAAACAAGGCATGCAGTGAAGACCCCACAGAGCCAGACTGCATGGACCATGAATCAGCACAGAGATGGCACTGCTTCTGTAGGGAGTGGCCCCAAGGAGACTCAGGATGAGACTTTGTTCTAGATATGCTATTGTTTCAAGGTATCTGCTTTTGGGGATATAGCGTTTGCCTTGGGAAACAAGTAACGGAAAGGTAATACTATTTGGTTAAAGAAGAACTCTGCTAGATCTGGCAATAACATTGCAAATTGGTCCAAAAGCAAGTATCTTCTGGGTTAAGACAAACAGCTCATTATGTATAAATGTAACCCAGACCCAGCAGCAGAGAGTGTAGGCTACTTTCGAGAACACCTGCCAATAAGGGCTGCCTTTCCAGACAAGGAACCATACTCCATGGAACATCAGCCAACATATGCTACAACAGGAGTGCAGGGGGCTGCCCCCCACTCTACAGTCCACCACAATAATGCCTCCCCTCGTTTGGCCATACCTACATGACACTTCTCAGGTGCCCTGCACCCTTGCAGTTCTGGGTGTGGCCATGTGACCTAGTTTCCTCTAATGGAATGGGAATCAAAATGCCACATGCCACCTGCAGCCTCACTCATAAAAACCACCAGTACTGGCTCTTCTGAACTCTCTTTCCTTCTTCCAGTTGACCGGGAAGGTGACATTCAAGGTGGTATGCTGAAGATGGCAAAGCAGCCACCAGCCTGGTCCTTGAAAGATGGTGGGAAAGAAAGCCACCCCACTTAGGTCCACATCCACCCCCTCCTGTGCATGAGGAAGAAAGACACTTCTTGCTTTTTATGCCCCTAGCACTGAGTAGCTTATTTGCTTCTATAGACTTTCCTAACCTTATTAACAGGGGCACAGTTGGGATGTTGTTGAAACATAATGCAGCAATAAACTAACTCCCTCTACTCACACATCAGATAATTAAGAGCATAGCCTCAAGGGTTGGAAAATGAGCAGTGGCCTCCTCCAAGAACTTTGGGCCACAAAGCAGAGCTCTGCACTAAGGACCCAGGGAACATTGATGGAGAAAAAGTCAGCTTTCTAAGTCTTAGGCAGCTGCCTGATAGTTTGTTTGCTCAAGGAAGGAGGTGACACCTAGACATCCTTACCTTCAGGAAGTTCTTCACCCGCTCTGGGTTGTAGCAATTACTCTCCCGGCATATCCTCTCCACCTCCTTGATCTGCCCCGTCTTACAGGCAGCCTGAATGTATTTCAAGTGCACGTCTGGATCTTGGCTGAAGTTTACAATTGAGCCCAAGAAGTAGAAGAGGCCTACAAAGAGAGATTGTTCCATCTTATGCCCTCATAATATCTACCTGCCTTTTCCACAGTCATAGTCCATCTGCCCTTGATGGCCCAGCCTACAACAATGCTCCACTCTCCCAGCTCACACAGCCCACTCACAACTTAGAAAATCTATGTGAAGTTCTGCCTTGGCATCTCCCCCAAATAGCTAGTCAGATTTCCATGAAATTTGGGAGGTATACCTGAGATGTTCTGATGTGAAATACTCTATGTGTATGTATGTGGAATCCTTCTGGGAGGCCCAGGCACACCCTAGATGGTCATCTTCAAGAATAATTCAAACTGAGGTAACCTAAGAGGGCTGTGAGACTACCACTCTAAAAAGACAAACCAGGAAGAGAGGAAAGCAGAGGCTTTCAATGGGAGCCTCCAAACAGAGTCTGCTCCCTGACACTGAGCTGCTGGCACACATGGAGCCACTGCGGACTGGGGTGCAAGGTGAGTCACAGAGCACCGTTATTCATCAGAGGCTGACCACCTCCTGACTCTCACAGGAGCCAGCCAGAGGTACTGGTGACAAGAACAGGACAGGATACTCCAGAGAAAACCACATTCCCTGAGGAGGTCTTTAGCTGTAACCTGGGGGAAGGAACCAGAACCCTGAAGGAGGCAGACAGCTCCCACCAACCCTACTCTACTGCCATCTCCCCACCCACATAACCTAATTGCTGTTGCAGCCTTTCCTGCAATGGCGTCTTCTGACGAGAGGGGCAGTTCCCTGAAGGCAGGTCTTGCCTTCACTCCTCCAACATCCCAGCCTCACTAGGCCCAGGACAGTGGCTTAATACCTTGTTGGACAAATGCTCAGTTTCTAACCCTGCCCCAGCCAGTCCCCAGCAGACCCTCACCTGGGAAAGCCGTCCCCCCACCAGCACATTCTCGATGTTGATGCCCACAGGAGGGCAGAGGAAGCCAACCAGTCAGGTCTGCAAGCCCAACAACCACACACCACTGAGCCTCCATGGGGCTCTTACTCAGAGGAAGCCAAAGGGGCTGCCCCCTCAGGGCCAGGCACTCCAGTGTTACTGGCCCAGATTTTCTGGTGAACACTCAGCAGAGTGTGTGACACAAAGATGCTCAGTTCCACAGAGGCTCCAGGGACACAAGGGGGATTCTAAGCATCCCCACTCCAATACCAACCAACTAATTGCTTCCTTTGCAAATGCCAAAAAAGCTACCTAAGCTGGGTAACACATACCAGACAGCAGAAATCTTCTGCCATTGACCAACATATCAGCCTGGCTGGAAGGAAGAATCTGAGGTTGGGCAGGCAGACACCGACACCCGAGGAGGTGTAGTTGGCTAGAGGCTGTGAAATTTACCTTCGTAACTCTTGAAGGATTCAAAGAGCTCCACCAGGGACTGTGTGCCCAGCTGCTCGTGGTACTTGGAGGCCACCTGCACACACAGCTGAAGGTTCTGTCTGATGCTGGCAGACAGCAGAGCATGAAGACACGCCAAAGAATCCTCCACTGACAAGGAGCCAAAGAAGCTGACGAGCCACTGGGAAGCAAGGAAGAGTTTGTCCACACCTAAGTACCATCCTAGATGCTGCCAACACTGGCAACATAACTGGGTCAATTTTTCCCACTGAGTGTGAAAAATATAAAGAATCTTCACTTAAAAGGACTGAAAAGCAACTATTCCTTGTGGTAAAAAGTGGAAGCCAGGAGTTAACTTCAGATGAGACACTAATGTCAACTATTCATCAAGCTGTCACAGACCCTGCAATACCCCACAGTTGATACAAAAACATATTCTGTAAATGGAATGCAATACCAATTAGCTTCTGCTAATGGTTTTAGACAACCTTGCTAGAGCTGTCAATGTTAACAGGTTCTCTCTTTTGGGCTAAGTCAAAGGTAGACAATGGAAAGAAAGAGGTAATGTGAGCCCAGTTGCGTGGGTGAGCCAGTGGGGCTTGTGTGTGGGCTGAATGAGAATTGTGTATAGCAGTGACAAGGCTCATGCACAGGGAAGACACATACCACAGTCCCACAACCACGAACATAGGGAAATTTTGGGAACATGTAACCCTAATGACAGGTGAGTGCCATCCACAACAGGAGTGCCCGAAGGGTGCACCATACCTCGGGATTGAGGAGGTGAGTGTGGACCACAGCCCTCTTGATGTCGTAGAGGTCAGTGTAGTGCTCCAGTGCACGCTGCAGGAGGCCCGCCTTTTCACAGAGCTGGGCAATGTGGGCCCGATCATAATGAGTAAACATCTGATTTCCAAGAATGGCATCTGCAACCTACGAAATGGTGAGGTCAGGAAGAAAGCCTGAATGGTGGCAATCACTTTTTAAGAGTAGCTGCTCTAACTATGCCCCCCAGGGCACAGCTCCAGAAAGTACTCACAGGAGAGAGGGATTTTACCAGGTCCAGGTCCTTGCCCACCTCTAAGCAGAGCCCTAGCCAACCCTCTAAGTCACCTGAGGCTCTTTGAACAAGGCTCTGTCCTCCTAGGGTGCAGAGTTGGGTATGTATAAAAGGCTGAGGCTCTGCCCTAAAGCATGTTACTGGGATCAGGCCAGGCTACTGCTCTGGCTTTCAGCCATCATATTTGTACGGTTTTCTATGGCAAGTCAAGGTCAATGTGAAGGCCTCCTTCTTTAATGAGCTCAATCCTTGGACTAGCAACAGTTACAATTAGCTGGAAGTAACAAATCCTACTGGCATTCACTAACCTGCTCAATTTGGTTAAAGGCAGAATAAGTGTGTGTGTGTGTGTTTTGGGGGGGGCATTATGTTTGAAAAACAACTAACACTCCTGGAAAGAATTCTGATGAGGCTTAATATCATCTTTAAATAAGCAACCTCTGGACTAAGAATGAGTGAGTCAACTAGCAACCTTGCTGCCTTGTTAAGTGATCTGACCCTCTGTAACTACTAGTGAGTCTTGATGAGACATGCTCCTGGGTGTCACCCAGCACACTCTTTTCCATTCCTTCCAGGATATGGAGCACCAGTCAAGTATACAGTGACCACAGACCTAGTCTAACATCATGCTGCTCCAGGGTAATGCACACTCTGGGCTCCCTAGAGAGGAAACAATCCAAACCAAGTGCTGACAGCACAGTTTTGTAATATCTGGAACTTATCTGATGCTCCCCACCCTTTGTTTTCTTCAGAACTTTACTATCTTTTTTTTTTTAAGTTTCCCCCTTATTATAGCAATAGTATCATTTAAAGAACTCAGAAAACACAGATGTGCCAAAAAAGAAAATATCATCCAGCCTCTGACATCCAGAGAAGACTGCCCAATGTTCTGGGCGTTGTAGCCAGCTGTGCACCCATCCAGGCTGCCCCTCTTTTGGGTTTGGGCTCTTCTTACGGTCTATCTGCTCAGTTCCTGAGTGGTGTTTAGTTTCTGTTTCAAAGCTCATATATTAAAAGCTGTCATATATAATCACCAAGTCATAAGAGTTCAACAGAACACCAAACAGCAAATTAATAGTACTTTTGTTTCCTAGAGGTGGGATATGGCCCACACAAGAGCAGCTAACTTGTGAATTGGAATAACCTGAAAACACAGAACAATATAATTAACATAGTGTTTCCTAATCACAAAACAATGCATGATTATAAAGCAAAAGAAACTGGAAGACAAATAAGTAAAGAACAAAGTGGGGGCGCCTGGGTGGCTCAGTCGTTAAGCGTCTGCCTTCGGCTCAGGTCAAGATCCCAGCGTCCTGGGATCGAGCCCCGCATCGGGCTCCCTGCTCCACGGGGAAGCCTGCTTCTACCTCTCTCACTCCCCCTGCTTGTGTTCCCTCTCTCACTGTGTCTCTTTGTCAAATAAATAAAAAAATCTTAAAAAAAAAAAAAAAAAGAACAAAGTGAACTGTGATCCTGTCCACTCAGACAACCATGGTTAACAGCTTGATGTAAATTTCTCCAAACTCCTTTCCTGCATACATATCTAAAATTAATCAAAAAAAGCATATACATGTGATTTAACATACCCACCCCCCAAATTTCAGTTCAAAAAATGCCCCACCATAATGAGCTACCACTTCACACCCATTTAGGATAGCCATGATTTTTTTAAAAACACACACAGAAAATAACAAGTGTTGGCAAACATATGAAGAAATTGGAACCCTCATATATTGTGGTAGGAATATAAAATGGTATAAATGCTTGGAATACAGTATGGTGGTACCTCAACAAGTTACATACAGAATTACTATATGATCTGGCAACTCCACTTCTGGTGTATGCCCCAAAGAGCTGAAAACAGGAATTCAAACTGATACTGCACACCAATATTCACAGCAGCACTATCTGCAACAGCTACAAGGTGAAAGGCAACCCAATGTCCATCAACAAGTAAACGGATAAACAAAATGTGGTATATACATACAATGGAATATTATTCAGACATAAAAAAGGAATGAAATTCTAATCCATGCTACGACATGGATGAATCCTGAAAAGAATATGTTAAATGAAACAAGCCAAACAAAAGGACAAATATCATATGAATCTACTTATATGAAGTATCTAGAATAGGCAAATTCATAGAAAAGGTAAGTAGAATAGGGGGTTACCAAGGGCTGGGGGAGGGAATGGGGAGTTATCACTTAATGGGTACAAGATTTTCTGTTTGTGATGATAAAAAGTTCTGGAAATATATAATGGTAACAGTTGCACAATAATGTGAATGTACTTAATGCCATTTAAATGTGCACTTAAAAATGGTTAAAATAGGGGCGCCTGGGTGGCTCAGTTGGTTGGGCGACTGCCTTCGGCTCAGGTCATGATC